TTTTTTTTTTTTAAATAATATGGAAGAATAAGTGCCTAGTTTTTATGTACTGAAGAACTACATTTACTAAACAAAAACACTTTTCACTTTGAATCTTTACAATTAAATATACTGTTTGGAGAATTGGATGTTGGATTGAGGTGAACAGTATATTGTGTTGGCAGCTCCTCATCTTGACAAGATCCACGCAATACGTGTACTGCAAAATAGTGACATGTGTACAGTATTTCTGCAAGTACATTGTAGCAAATCAGGACTTCAGAACAGACTAATGACCTCATCCTTCTTCATTTATATTCATGAGAACTGAGAGATGCATAAGAACTTTCTGTGCTGGGTCTGAGAGCATTAAAGAGAGGTACAGCTTTCCAAATGTTGAATCAATATTGGAAAAGGTCATGTAGGTCAGTGTGCTACTAATCAATGAAGAATGGGGTCACCAGCTGGATGACCTGATGAAAACATCTGTCTGAAAAATGATCTCCGTATTCTGCAACTTGCTTGTCAGTAAAGATAAATTTACATGTCCAATAATATTACCAAAAGTGTGTCAAATATTGCATTGAATGTTCCACTTCATCATTTTGAATTTCTACACGGATCATATAAATATCATGCAACAGATCACTTTTGTAACCCTGGTTTGTTGTTATATTTAATGTCCTAAACGATTTATTAGGGTTGTATTGATTAGTGGTCAACTAATTTCAGTCTTTCAGTGACTGATTCCCTAGACAGCAGGTTATATAATGATAATACAGTATATACATCATCAATTTAATGATGGCAAATAAGATAACACACATAAAATGTCAGACTCATCATACTTTATACAATATTTACTTGCATTGTTCTAATTAACAATTGATATCCAGAACCAGTTACTAAAAATTGTTTCTGCTGATATAATAGATTTAGGGAAGATTCCTGCCAAGTCTGAGTGTCCTGTACATCCCTGTTTTCAGTCAGGTAGTGCCCTCTACTAAATTCCCCAATAGCAGCAATAGCAAAACCAATCCTAATTTCAGCCAATCAAATTTATCCCACTATGTCACATGACTGAATCAAAATATGTTACATCAGTGGTTCTTAAACCTCTCCATGAAGTACCCCCAGCACTGCACATTAGCTCATTAGTGGAGACTGCAAGACCCCAAGTATAGGTCTCTGCAGGAAAGTAATGGGAGTTTAGCAGATCGGGGCGTTTTTAGACCATGTTTCCTGACTGGCTGACGTCATAGTGACGGTAGGTTTAGGGGTTGGGTTAGGTAAGGGGGATCATTTTGATTGCATGATTGAGAGTTTGAAAACAACTCACAAATTCAGAAACGCCCACTTTTGCTCTGCAGAGACCTCAATCTCGCAAGACCTGAAGTGGGTGTGTCAGATATAGAGAGACATACAAAATGTGCAGTGCTGGGGGTACTTCATGGAGAGGTTTGAGAACCACTGTGTTACATTAATTGTTTACCTGATTTTAGCTCCGATGTGACTCTCCCACAGTGTCCATTGTGCCACTCAGTTGTCACTCAATCAACCTCAGTAAAATAATAGTAGTTAAGATTAAAGATTATGAATTATTTCAGAGTGCTAAGTCAGGGGTGTTGATTTCCAGAGGTGTCCTTTAAACGCTTTTGCTGATGAATGGTTGGAATGATGTTATGTGGGCAACAATTATCCAAATGTTCATGAAGAAAGGCTCAGCTGTGAACACTCAGTTATAGGTTGACATTAATGGCAGCTTTACTTACAAAGCCAGGACACAGTCATGGTGATTTTCTCTAACTTGTTTTGTGAGGAGGCGCATACTTCAAAGTGACTTTGTAGAACACAAGAGTAACTTTTGTAGAAGTTTTTATTTTCATCAAAGACGTCATGCACACATTTCTTATCATTGTCTTATTTAATCTCAGTATTTATAAGTTCACCGCTTTAAATAAATCTATGATCTCAAATCAACAAGCTTGTCGAGGTGGTCGATCAAATAGAAAACTTTTTTACAGACCAAATGATGGATGAGAAAATATGCCATTTTCAGGACCTTTTGGGATTGTTCCTAAAATAATTTTCTGGGACAGAGAGAAAAGTGTTTTAGGAATAAAGAGCAAGTGATTTATGGACTGCTGTTATGCTGAGGTTTTAGTTAGAAGGCTTATTTTGTAAATATTGATATGTCCAGTGCTCTGGGCAAGGCTGATTAGGGGGTAATTAATTTCCGGTTATGATAAGTATTCTGCTACTACAGTACGACATAATTCGAGAGCATACACACCTGAGGGTCATATGGCTGACTTTGCAGTATAAATAATTGCCTACCACCCACAAAGGTATTTATTAAATACCTAAGAGAGGATATCTATAATTTCCACTGTCTTTGCTTCATCAGCATTTCTTCGTTCATTGCTGCTAGCAATGACAGGTCCCAATGGGGTCAGCCAACTGTTAGAATTGAGGTCAAAAGCTTTGACCTGACACCACAATTCTGTCATCTCCATCTAAAATTGGCACAATTGACCCCATTGGGTTTCTTCCCAAAGAGTCATCTTTCACAAACCGTTGGAGATCTAAGCTTTCTGGAAGTCAGTGAGTGTGATCAAACCATGGTGTATGTATATTTACCATAACATCTATGATAATTAATAAGCACATAGCTTAAAACTGCACAGAATTTTAATCCATATATCCAGTGGGGTCCAGAAATCCAAGACTTTTGTGAAAATGCTTCCACAATATTTTGAAAGGGTCAATTAAAAATGAGTATTCATTTCAAAATGTCTCAGTATTTGGGTTGACAGCAGCACTCAAGCTGCATGAACTCTACAAGTTTGTGTCAAACCTGATGATCATGTTCTCCGGCATGATTTGAGATGATCCAAACACAGAGATGATTCACTGGAAGCAAGAAAATCTGTCTGTACAATGAGTCACATGAGCAATGTCACAAATTTACTTATGTAATTAGTGACCTAGAAGTAGTTCAAGCTACATGTTTATTTCCAGGTTTAAATTAGGTTTTGACTCCAAGATTGTTGATGTGGTTTCAGATTGATAAGCACTGAAAATCTGCCATAGTTTTAGACCAATCACACTCATTGGTGCCATTTACATTCTGTAATCCAAAAAAGGTGGTGATACATATAAGAATTTTAGAAATAAGGAAAGGCCAGGGCAGAAAGTCATTTATTTAACCTGAGCTTGACACATGAAATATCCCCCAGCATGAGCAGGCATGAACCTTTCTATATCTCCCGCTTGTCTCTTCCTCTGTACACCTCCATCTCTGCTGAAGAGCCTTGAGCAGAGTACTGTTTAACATTCCATGGGTAAACATTAGGCTTTATTGTAGCACTGTCCTGGAGTGTTGGGAGCTGAGGAGCCCTGGCCTGACTGATCCCCAGAAGACTAGTCCAAACATGGGAGTTGCAGAGGGCTGGAAAAAAACACTGAGGAAGAAAAAGAGTCTGTTATAAAGCTGGAAGTGTTGTGATATTTTGTTAGGCACAATGTGAACTTTTCTTCATGATAATGAACAAAATATGTGTGATTGTCTCGTTTTGGCATTTGATGAATGCCGAAGGTCTGAGAACACTCTAAAAATGTTAACAGCTAAGCTGAGTATCATCTTACGAGTAATATGGTCGAACATAGTCTGCAGTTGCCAATTTCAGTCCAAAATTAAGTCCTGCATTTAGAAATGTTTGGAAACTTGTGAATTGGGCCATCACAGAATTACATGGGAGCACTGACACCCCAGTGTCAGCCTTTAACTTAGCAGTTCATTTACAATCGGAATTGTTGATCATCCATTCAGTGGTCACAAAATCACAAAAGTGTCAGTGGGATTTTCACATATTCACTTACTGTCAGACAAGGTGTCAAACTCAGGCCTGTAAATTGAGAGAGAGAGAGAGTCCAAAGAAATGTGTTTACAGTTTTGAGCACACATAAAATAGCTATTTCTTTTCATCCTCTTACTAAATATCAAGCAGATTGTTTAAATGTCAGCTGCTTAGATTCGGCTGAGCTGGAGTGGCGCACAGGGGCTGTGGGTGTGAAACATTACCCTTTCAGATGCACAGAATGACTGTGCTAATTAACAGAGGTGCACTCGAACAAATACCAGATTAATGTCAATGGCCACGTCCAGGAGACTCAGGCATGGGCAGATCCTTCAAGCCTGCAGTCGTTCCATTTATAACTGCGCCCACAGGGAGGGAGTCGG